CTAAACCCTAAACCCAAACCCTTCTGATTTCGAAGGCCCGTATACTGCTCGTTAAGAGAAGAGCTGGTGGGTTCAAGAGTCGCGGGCTTCGGTAGAGCGCTCGCTTGCAAGATCGTCAAGACAAGCAAACGAAACGGTTCAGGGTTCAGGGCTCAGGGTTTAGAGTTCAAGGTTTGAGGGTTTAAGGTTTAGGGTTTAGGGTTCAGGGTTCAGGGCTGCCAGCAAGGATTCCAGACGTACCTAATGTAGGGGACTTAATATTTAGAATAGGGCTTTAGGCTTCTGTAAAGTTTTGATATAATATGGAACCCTAAGGAATATTATTGGTAATTACTTAGGCTTCTATACTAGGGTCATTAGAACCGTAAACCTCTAACCCTGAAGCCCAAAAGCCTCGCACCCCCAAACCCACAACCCTGGGACCCTTCGAACTGTACCCTACATCTTGGAAACCCGGCCTCACGAGCAAGGTTTAGGGTTCAGAATTTAGGGGTTTAGGGGTTTAGGGGTTTAGGGTTTAGGGGTTTAGGGTTTAGGGTGGTCGACATGAGCACTGAAGCCCAAAATGCTGATATGCCGAGAAACCATTCACCCTAACCCCAAAAGCTGAAGACTATACAATCCTAACCCTCAATCCTGAAATCCTACGGTTTAGGGTTTAGGGTTTAGGGTTTAGGGCCCTACCCCTACATGCTAGAGCTTGAAGCCCAAAAACAAAATTACACAAACCCTTTCCCAGCCCAGTGGCCGGATCCACAACCCGACAACGTGGAGCAAATCACCTGGGCCTCCGACAGTGCACGTTTGAGGGTTTAGGGTTTAGGGGTTAGGGTTTAGGGGTTTTGGGTTTAGGGTTTAGGGGTTTACGAAGGCTTTGAAGATGCTAAGACGTTCAGATGGAATTAAGTGGGTTTTGGAGAGGGTGTCAGGAGCGCTGTGGATAAGATGGTGAAAAGAGGGCCAGCTGAAAGGTTGCTAACAGGTCTTTACACGAGACCCACGAAGGTGTCAAGCAGGCTATGGAACGGGATGTAAACGGATTTTAGGAGACTTGTAAGAGTGAAAGGGATCTATGAGATGTGAGGAAAATGCTAAGCCGGGTTTGGAACATGTTAAGACGGTGTCAAACGGAATCTTAGAAGCAAAAACCCTTGCAACAGAAATTAAGCGGGCTTTTTCAGGTGACATGACAGTGCGCTTTCCTTGGGTGTTGCTGGCCTTGCAAGACGACAAGACTCCTCCCATGCAAGGACACTCTCATGGTTTAGGGTTTAGGGTTTAGGATTTGGAGTTTAGGGTTTGGAGTTTAGGGTTTAAGGAGAAAGAAAGGAAGCAAGCAAACGATCTGGCGAACATGACGACATTACCAGCAGCATGTCATCATCGTCCTCTGCAGAAGCAGCAACACGTGAGTTTCATGGTCTTCGTCGTCGGCGGCAGCAGCATCACCAGCACCACTGGCACCAGAAGCACTACCCACCAGTACCACCAGGAGCACAGTCAGCAAAGTTGGTAGCAGCATATATTATATATTATACATTGTATATTATATATCATATATTATATATTATATATTATATAGTTTATATTATATAAGCAGGACAGGCAAGAAGGCCTCGTTCAAGACATCCTTGGCCATCTGATCCTCCAGGTCAAACAGCCTCAGTCGTGCCAACAACATTGACCCGGGTCGAAACCCACCGGGTTTAGGGTTTAGGGTTTAGGGTTTAGCACGCACTAAAGCAATGGTATTGTAGGGAGGGCAACTACGCATGCAAGCTGATTAAACAAGCCTCAAAACCGCACTAAAGCCAAAGCCCTTAACCGCTCCGTGCTAACAGGCGGCTCTCTCTTCTTCAACTCGCGATGCTTCTGGCTCCTGTTCAGCTTTTTGAACCTCCGCTCGCGGTGCTTGAAAAACCTAAACCCTAAACCCTAAACCACTACTTGGAGGGTTTTGGGGCCGCTTGCCGGCTTTAGCGGCCGGGTATAGGGGTGTGTTAGGATCCTAAAGCATGCTGGTTATGACAATGCTCGCAAAGGGTTTAGGGTTTAGGGGGATATAACAACGGGGACTACAGGCTTAGACAAAGGCCGTCTAAGGTTTGCGAGACTTTGTACTGCTGGGTTGAGCCTCTGTTCCCGATATCTACACTGCAGCACAGTTTTGGGGCAACTACATTTGCAGCAACTCCTCAGCAGGCAACCCCAGAAACCCAAAGGCAAAAAGCACGAAACCACTGAGCAGGGAAACCTCGGTTCGGGAAACTTCTCTTGCAAAAAAAGCCTCTCAGCCCCCATCTTTCTGGTCGGGAGGCAGCAGGGAAGCTTCGTCGTCCGGATCTTCGAGGCCTTCGACACTCTCGTCCTCCGTCCCCGCGTCCAGGGCGTTGGAGCGCTGGAACATGAGCAGACGATCGTACCTAACGGGGTTCAGCTCCAGGAAAAGCACTTTCTGGAGCCCCTGAACCCAGGGTTTAGAGTTTAGGGCCCCGAAACTCAGCAACTTCCGCATTTTGGTTTCAAGCAGTCTTCCAGCGGACATTTTTGTCGCACCTCCGACTTGCCGGTGGCCCTTAGTAATGGTAGCAATGGTGGCAATGCTTGTAGTGGTATTAGCTGTGAACTTAGCAATACTTGTAATACTAGAAGTAGTATAGTACTAGTAGCGCTAGCAGTGCTAGCACTACTAGCAGCACTAGTAGTACTAGCAGTAGTGCTAGTAGTACCAGTAGTACTAGTAATATTTTCAGCAAGAAGCGTCACAGTCAAAAGGTCAGAGTCATAGCTGGACTGATAATGCCAAAAAACGACTCGAAGACCAATCTTATAGGTAGCAAGTGTGTTCTAGGTGAGGGGGAAGGAGTCGCTGGCTTCTGGAAGAGGGTTGCGCCCTGAATCCTTAAGCCTGAAAATGTCGGATGTCGGAGTTCGGATTTTGGGTTTGCGGCTGGGGCCTTCGGAGCTACGGTGTAGTTGGTTTCAAGGTGGAGGCAGCCGGGGTCTCAAACGCCATCCTAGATGCAAGCTGTAGGTGAAGAATGCATCATCCGCCGCGTACCGGACCTGATCCTCTGACAGGGTGGAGGCCTCCCAGAAGGACATAGAAAGGGTAGGATCCTTATACATCTTGAGGCCGAAGGCCCGGCCCAACTTCTTCAAGCCAATGCTGCGTTGGAATCCCCGATCTTCGGCCATCTTCTGGAGGTCCACCACAGCCTCCGGCTCAAGGTCGAAGGAAGCCTGCACTTTGCGGCGGTCGGAGCCATCGTATCCGAGAGTCACCTTCTGGCAGCTCTTCGACAGGAGCAGATCTCGCACACACTTGGGCAACCACTTGCCACTGCGGTGCGTGCGTAGGAGTAGGGCGGTGTGCGCATCTGCGAACTGCATCAACGCGACGGGATTCTCCTCGCGGGCCCCGGTGTCTGGAATCCACTCCATGTCCCAACCCACCGCGCCACCAGTTGCAAGCTTCTTCTCAAGCCAAGCCTGGCCGTCAAAGACCTCGGTGGCCCTGTTCACCTCCGGGAGGCGCCACGATGTACTAAAAACTCATACACGGATCTCTATATCTGTCGGCCTATCTATCCTTGTATGTGCAGAGATACGCCGTCCGTAGGTACGTGCACTTTATGTATATATATATATATATATATGTATGTATATGTATGTATATGTATGTATATGTACGAATATGTATCTATATGTATGTATGTGTATGTATGTACGTATATATATATACATGCAGACATACACACACACATACATACATACATACATACATACATACATACATACATACATACATACATACATACACACACATACACATACACATGTACATACACATACACATGCGTAGACACATACACATACACATACACATGTACATATACATACACATATAATATACATAGTTGCATATACATACGCACGCACATATGCATGCATGTATACATGTATGTATATACCTGTAAATTTGTATGTATATGTAAATGTATGTGTACATGTATATGTGTATGTATACGTGTCTGTGTATGTGTATGTGTATGTACATGTGTATGTGCATGTGTATGTGTATGTGTATGTGTATGTGTATGTGTATAAGTATGTATGTATGTATGTATGTATGTATGTATGTATGTATGAAAGCTTTTATTTTTATGTAGATATGCACATGTAGATATGTACATGAAGATATGTACATATAGATATGTACATATGTATATGTACATGTATATGTACTGTGTACATGTCAATGTATATCGTGTAATGTATAATGTACAACATATATGATGTATAAGATCTAGGTACATGTATATATACATGCATATGTATAAGTGTGTGCATATATACACATATGCGTGTATGTGAATACCCACATACAGATGAGAGAAACTCCTTACAAGACTCGGTTTGGTAATAAAACAGCGATGCGATCAATACTGCGCTTGCAGCTTCTACTTCATCACCGTGCGGCTGAAGATAGTGAGAACCCATGATGATGCAAAGCAGGATGCTGATGCAGCAGAATAGAGCTGGAAATGATCTTAAGGGTGATGTGGTGGTCGAACAACAAGCTGAAATTCTGTATCACCCCAATCCCATAAACCGTCATAAACCATGATGAACCCCTAAACCCGGAACTATTATCCCAGCACCTCATGGAGGTTCACCAGCAGGGTCTCTCCGCGGAAACCGTCATGAGCCTTCGATAAGCGGTCACGGTTCTCCTCGGCTTGCTGCTCCAGCTCTGTCCTTGCTGACATTTGAGGCTTCGGGATTTCGGGTGAAAGTTTTAAGGGTCAAGGTGTATCAAGGTGTCATGCTTCGGGCGTAGGGTTTGTTGGATTCCGGGATTCCAGTTTTCATCGTTTCTGAACCAAGAACAACTTGGCCTGGACATAAGTACACAAGGTCTTCGGGCATTTTTATCCAAACCTCTGTTGACCCAGATACAAAAAGTCCTATCAAGACCAAGAGACACCGTGCGATTGAGCTCCTGCAGCTGTGAGATGAGTGTAAGGGGAGAGGTGTCGGGATGCGAAACCCTACTTCTAAACCCTAAACCCTAAACCCTAAACCCCAAAAACCCTAAACCTTAAACCCTAAACCATAAAAAAAAAAACCCAAAATCCTAAACTGCGCCAACAGTCTCAGCGCATCGGAAAGGCCATGCCCCGCGGCTACTTTTGCTGATGTGCTGCTTTTGCTGCAGCTGTGGCGAGCTGCACTCACTGTGTTTACAAGTATCGCTTCAGGCGCACATTGCTATCTGCAGCTTTGCTTCAAAAGTGTCACGAGTATGAGAATTTATTCAGAATAAACCCTGAATCTCTTATCTACATTATCTACATTTAGTCCTGAGGTCGTTGCTACAAGTTGCGCCCCCGATAGACCTCTCAAGACTCCAACCCTACACTCCCCGAAGACAGAGGCTCCGAAGCGCAAAAACTAAGCCTCATACTAGAAGCCCTAAGCCTGATACTAGAACCCTAAACCCTGAACCCTAGAAGATCTGGCTTCCTCCTTTAAGGCAATTGGGCAAGGCACCAGCAACTCTTTCATCCGCTGCTTCCGCCTCGACGGCGAGAAAATCTCGGGAGCCCGAAACCCTAAGACCCTACGCCCCTCAAGGGGGACTCTGCCATAGAACCCTATAGTACCCTTTTAAGGGGGACTCTACCATGGAATCCGATAGTACCCTTTAAGGGGACCCTATCATAGAACCCGATTTGGGCATAAGGACCGGGACCTCGGATCTCATTTTTGTAAGATTCCCCTACGGCTTCGAAGTTGGGATCGGGCTTCAGGCTATGATGTGCTACTGTTGATGATTTCAATTCTGCATTACCTTAAGGACCCTAAACTATGGGAATTATGGTCTATTCCGAAATATTCCTTCTTAGGGGTAATGCAGGATTTATATCATCAACCGTATCCCTGTCACGGGGATGCATGGGACGAGTCATATTGACTGCGGAGCTTCCTGGGCTGTCTGTACCGTTGACTGGCGTAGAACCGTGGCCGCAACATTGAGAAGCTTCTCGATGTGCAGAGCAATACAGTAGAGATTTATTTGTAGACGTAAAATGTACACGGATAAAAGCATATAGATGTATAGGAACCCTACACCCTAAACCCTGAACCCTAAACCCCAAACCCTAAACCCTAAACCCTCAACCCTGAACCCGAAACCCTAAACCCTAAACCCTCTATCCTCAACCCTCAACCCTCAACCCTCAACCCTAGACCCTAAACCCTAAACCCTAAACCCTAAACCCGAACCCTGAAGCCTAAACCCTCTAAAGCTTACTCCAGTCTTCCGGCTTGGGGTTCGTGGCTCGGTATTTGGACGAGAACATGTTAAACCAAAGACAGACACACTTTAATACTAGGTTGTAGTTTAGGGCTTAAGGTTTAGGTTTTTCTTACCTAGGTTGTAGTTTAGGGTTTGGGGTTTAAGCTTTTCTTACCTACGTTGTACTTTTGGGAGCCTTAAAACGTCTGTATGAAAAAGTACATGTATAGGAACCATAAGGGAAACTTTACAGTTTCCCAAAGTGCCACCTAATTAATACAATCTTCACCCGAAGCGCTTTCATCCCCAAATGCCAGCCCCAAACAAAACACTGAACCCTAAACCTTGTATCCTAGAACCAAAAGTGTCCGGGTACACCCGTGGCTTCGGGCATTACGGCTCTGGATTTACGGTTTGGGAAGTCGGGTTGACTCGGCTCCGGCCTCAGGGATTCAATGTTGAAGGTTAGGGCGTTGGGTTTAGGGCCAAGAGGTTTCGAAAGGTCGGCACATGAGCACGGCTAAAACCCTAAAACCCAAACTCGGACATGACTCTATTTGCACCTTATACATCCACGGCCTGACTTCTGGAGTGGAGAAAGCCTCTTCAAAGTCCGAAGAAAAAGCTGTACGTAAACGTTACATGCACTTTTTCGCGTATCCTTATTGTCACCGTTTTCAGAGCCCTACTTGCCAAGCCCAATGTCCGACAAGCCACTAGAAACCCTAAGCCCTAAACCCGAAGCCCTAAACCCTAAATCTTAACCCCTACACCCTTATAAGCCCAAAACCCTAAATCTTAAACCCGCCCGCCACCCCCTCTCACTTCTGTTGGGGTAGGCAGGCGCAGTCGAGCCCCGAGCGAGACCAAGCAGGCTCTGCCAGAGCTGTGGAGCCTGCGAGCACACTCCTGAGAGGTCACCAAGCTATCATCGCCGAGCTAGACACCAATGTATATTCATATTCTATTACCCTACACCCCATTATCGGGAAAACGTCCAATCCGACAAAGTCGACTCACTTGAGGCGGCTTCAAACTGGACAAGGATTGGGGTCCCCCAACCTTTCACGACTTGGGACGGCCTCCAACTGGACAAAGAATGGGGGCCCCCCCCCAACCCTTCGCGATTTGAGGCGGCCTTCAACTGCACTAGGATTTGGCCCCCAACCCTTCACGACTTGAGGCGGCCCTTAACTGCAGCGTGATGGGGCGCCCCCCAACCCTTCACGACGTGAGGTGGCCGCCAACTGGATGGGACAACCTTCACGACAACTGGCCCCCAGCCCTTCACGACTTGAGGCGTGGACAAGGATGGGGCCCCGCAGTCCTTCACGACTTGAGGCGGGCTTGGGGAAGCTTTTCCAAATGGACAAGGATTGGGGCCCCCAATTGAAGCGGCCGCCACCTGGACCAAGAGCCTCCACTAAAGTGGCGACGAGCACGTTCCCGGACGCGAAAATCTGCAGCATGTTTCCAAGTGGAGGAGGAGCCCCTCCACAGATCGAAACATCAATGACAGGACGCTTCGGCCCAGAACATACCCCAGCGCAAGCCCCGGCGCAAGCCCGCAGCCCGAATTGTTGCTTGAACAGGGATTGGAGGCCAAAGTTCGACAAATCAGTGGTAGGGCCGTCGGCCCCCAACGCAAACCTTGAATTTTGCTTGGACAAGGATGGTGGCCGCCCCCCAACCTAACCTTCACGACTTGAGGCGGTCTGCAACTGGACAAGGATTGGGGCCCCCAATCCTTCACGACTGAGGCGAGCTTGGGGAAGCTTTTTCAAACGAAGGATTGGGGCCCCCAATTGAGGCGGCCTCCACCTGTAAAGTTGCGCCGAGCACGATCCTGGCCTGTCGTGGGCGGCGCGAAAATCTGCAACGTGTCTCCAAGTGGACCAGGAGCCCCTCCACAGATTGAAACATCAATGACAGGACCCTTCGGCCCAGAACATACCCCAGCGCAAACCCTAAATTACACACTCCGTCACGACTTCGCGCGACTCTGGGGAACATCTAATTTGCTGCTTGACACAACCACATCTGCGGAAGTCAACTTATTTGTTTGATGGTGTTGGCTTGGAGTTTGGCTGGCTCCGTTTTGGCTCGCTGTGAGTTGTGTGTCGGTTTTCTTGGGGTGGGCATGTCCTTATAAGACAGCGCTCTAATCAGCGCCCGACCTGTCGAGCACACCCTGAACCCTAAACCCGACATCTTAAACCCT